GAAAATATAAATATCGATATACACTTATTGCATAGTTTATAAATGAAGTTAAATGTACGTACGTAAGCGAAAGAAAAGCATTATATATTCACGATTGGCTTGTTCTAGTTCTAAACTGAAAGTATCTTAAATAACATAGTATATCAGGTATTTAAGTATGTTCTCGTAGGAATGACTTTCTTGGCGAGAAACAGCGTTTTGACCCCAGTTTTCGTGCCGGTATGCAAGTCCATAAAACTTTCACTTAATGTCTGATAATTTTGAGTAGGTCTGTGTTACAAGGACGGGAACGCGTTTTCCCGTTATTTAAATAGATCCAATTTAAAATGCTTTTTAATTTAGTGTAGTGAAAGATCTTTAGTATTCCTCAATAAATTAAATAACTCATATAAAAGGCAACAATAGAAAACACTAATATGATTTCATCGTGAAAAATTAATTTTATTTACTTAGTGTTTTTAATAAACTAATTAATCAATTGCTTTTTATAACGTTACAAAAATAAGGCATAATACTTCGTAAATAACATGATTTTAAGCAAAATTCAAAATGTATCATCTACGAATTATCATTATCAGCCACATCAATTGAAATCACTACGATTATATATTCATAATAAATATCCTTGCTTCTGCGCATTTATCATAAAGATTATGTTTTTATAATGATTTAGTAATTTTAAATAAATCCGTGTAAATATATTACTAATTCCCATGATTCTTTTTAATCTGTTAAATTTTGTAATTCTTCTTTTTAATATTACTAATCTCATGTGAACTACATACTCGTATATTCAGCAAAAATATATCTGCTTTTACTGGCTTTTCAAAAATAATTATTATCATCGCCCGTCGTAGCTTTAACTTAAAATCAGAATAATTCACAAGAATGCACAAGTTCTTCATTCTTGTACATTCTTTAACATTCATAGATTCGATTCTTTACTTTTTATTGACATCGTGTGACGGGAATGCGTCCGAGTAAATCTATCATTATGTTCACTAACAAAAAATAAATTCCCGACAGATATAACTCCGGTGCGATCCTTTATCTCTCCCATTCTGGCGGCATTGTACTTTGACTTGGATTTCATTTATTATATTATGTGTAATATTATACATATATTTTGCCTTTTTACGTCCAAATGATTGGGCAACTTTTTTGAAAACCCTTAAATATTCTAACGAACTGAGATGTCGTGTATTGGTTATAACAAATCTTTAAACTCACTAGCTTGCACATTTTTCTGCCTACGGATAGGTGGCACTAAGAGATTCAATTCGAATTAACTTTGGACTTTTGACAGCCGCCACATTGATTTTTTTTGGTACTTACGGTCTGCCTCTAAAGCTCTACTCACTACAAGGTATCCTAACATAACCGCAACCGTTTTGGCACATCGAAAAATGATCCTTGTATATTAGGATGCGAAAAAAAATTTACAACAACCGCACTCCTCCTTCTAGTAGTAGGATGAGCATAATAGCCGTACACATTGAAACTAAACGCTAAAAGTCACTAAACGCGTTGTATACGAGTATGATACGTTTTTGATACGTTCTACTCGGTATAGTAGTGACGGTCGTGTTTTTGCGTATCTGATACAATCGTAAAAAGTTCATATGAGCCGTTGTAAGGTCCAGATCATTCAAGTATATTATCAATATATTATCTATATATTGTCAATATGATTTTGACCCTAATATGAGGAATTTGTGTATTATAATTTGACAACAGTGCCACAATATATATCCTAAAATAGCTGCGAACCATCGTCTCGACGTGTGAATATGACTTCAATGGGCAAGACGTTTAGTTATTGCTACTTTGCGAAGCCGGGCCCGCTCCGCTAGTGTAGATATAATTCTGGGCAAAAGAATATAAGGCTAAAATGCACAATTATTATAACTTGAATGTTCACCTAATACAAGAGGCTACAGGGCGATAGCGTCGCATATATTATACTAGAATGTAATTTATTAACCAGCGTTGAACTGTGCGCTGAGTAACTATGCGCGCCTGCGGAGATGTGCCACTCGAAGTAAAAAAAGAGATCTTAATGTCTACCGACCATCATCAGACTATGCTAAATAGTTCTGGACTTACTTGGCTATCATAACATTTTCGACCGGTGGATCACACATCGTCCAGTAGAAATGAGTAGTCCGCGAACGAATGAATGATTTGTAATACTTCATTAAATTAAATGAACTTTTCTTTTATTTTCCACTCAATCAAATGCGTCTCTACGTCATTTAGTGCAGTTCAAAGATTACCTTAATACAAATATAGGAAAAAAAAATAACCCAATCATCCAAGCTGTTGGATATAATGACACATGTGCCCCCTGCTGGATGTTTAATATGTTATTTTTGTATGGTTCTTTTTTTTCGAAATCGCTGAACAGGTTATAATGAAACTTTACGAACAGAAAAAAGCAATGCCAGGTGTGATGGGTTATATTTTATCCGTAAAACTTTTTTTTTTTTGATAAATCGCAAAATTGTTAAAATTATTAAATATACTATTTAACACCACATTTATAAATCCCACCCAGGCGAAGCCAGGTCAAGTCGTTAGTAAAGAATAAAACTTTCTTCACTGTTATGAGTAAGAAAATGAATTGAGCCAAAAAAAATTCTAGGACAAAATGTAAAGAGTAATTTGATGAAACAGGTGGCAATACGATCTATGCAGTTGATATCTTTTAGAACTAATGCCTTGGAGAGCCGATGTCTAAAGTGGACTTAGGATACAATGGTAATGATAATGATATTTCCTTCTTAAAAGACCTATAAATCGCAAAATATTGATCAATTACATAAGATTGACTTTATTAGCCCTATAAAAGTCCACTACCGGTCATGGGCCTGTGGGTTTGCCATAATCACACATTTGGCAGGCGGAAGGACGATCGCAGTAACAGATCCAGATCCTCGCACATTTGATGATGATCCCCGCCGCTGGTTGCAGTGTTTACGTCCGAAGTAAATGTGATGGAATATCTATCGAACGCTATAAAAATTTTGGCATATACCAGTTCAGTATCAGTTGCCTTATACGACACCGACGACACATGGGAGAATACTGACTGAAGGAGATTCCGACTAACTTTTTGATAGAAAAAGGCCGAATATACTCGTTTATACATACTTATTTATAATTAAATTGTCCTTTCTAACTTATCTGCAACCAATGAATCAGAAACATAACAAATACAAAGTATATAAATTTATTGGAAGCCCTGCCTTGTTTCGTTTTTTATGTAATTATGGTAAAAGCTTCATGTATTTATTTACGGACGGCAACCGGCGATAAAAAAAGAAAAAAGTTGACGAGGTAATTTTAAAAAGAAGCAAATCGGATGTGAAGTAATACGAAACTTCCGTAATTTGAAACAAAGGGAGCAACAGTTAAGCGTGTTAAGGTGTATTGTATATCAAAAATTTTATTTTATTACGAAATTGCATATAATGTTTGTATGTGCTCTTTAGGGACAAGAACACTAAGACGCCGATAAAGAATTGATGTTATGAAAAAATATAAGTATTTAGTCAATACTTTACGCAATACATAACAAACAATTATTAATTTTGCTACTTTAGTGGTAAATACATGGTATCATATCACAAATAAAGTACTCGGACTAACGTCCGACTGGACCCACCGGACACGCAAAACGTAAGCGTTCCCACAAGCGTTACGCTCCATGGCTTTATAACATGTTTACATTATCACACTATAATATGTTGTATTTATTGTCAATTTATTACATTCAGTTATTAATGAATTCTACACATAACCACAAACTATAATTACTAGTATACATAATTTTTAAAGAATTGTAAAAGTTCAGAATCATTCGAGATTTTATCTGATATTATTTTTAAAATATGATAGATATCTGTCATGTGCAACTACTAATAACTATTCGTTGAAAAAAGAAGAAATTAACTATTCGTTGTAAAAAGATAAACTAAAATTTTTCAAAATAACCTATTTAACTCTTCAATTAATTGAAATAAGGAAGCGTCAAAATTTAAAGAAGATTTTTGTCCTATTTCATGTTTTGTCGTTTTTTGAAACTAACTACGTTACTAGTAACATAACAAAAAAATTACAATATTTTAAAAGTTTTTTTAAAGACAATCATTTAAATTTAATTATATTGGTAAAAACTTAAGCTTATAGTAAACAACCTGAAACTACTTCTTCGAAATTTAATAACTAATATGGATGGCAACGCTTTTAGCATTAAGTTCGCCTTGTTTTATTATTGTTACTCTGTTTAAGCCCTCCTTTGATAAATTAGGAATTAAATAATTAAATGTTTAATATTTCAATTACACATTATGCTTTACATTGGTTTTCTTGTTATTGAACACAGGAAACTTTACATTACTTAATTGAGAAAATATGATTGCAAAGCTATCATATAAATCGGATCTTAAGAAAATTGTGTCAATGCGGCCGATGAAAGCTGTTAGATTGTGTAAAAACATTGTCCCACGGCTCCGCATCATCATTGACTACGCAGTAGTAGCGTTGTTTTGATCTACTTAACGAGTTGATCTTCGTCGGAGACGGTTCAGAGAGCACATAATAGAAATTCTTTGCAATATTGCGTTTCTTGTTTTAAATTGCGCTTCTTTTCTGTTTTCTTACTGAATCGTTATAAGAAATGCTTTCATATCAGCATAGCAGCAATAACAGTTGTTTATGATATATGTGTAAATTCTAAATAAAATGTAATAAGAGTAAATATAAAGCAGTAAATTATTTTTTTTCGTTCCAATCAAAATGTAAATTTTAAGTATTAAGTTGGAGTAAATTAGAAGTAGTTATCAATTAATAAGACAACTAATATGAAAAGAAATTATTAAAACTTTGGTGACTCGGGGGAAAATTAATCTGAAAGTGACTCATCTTCTGCGGCGGGCAAGTCGAACTCTCTCACCTACTTTTTACTATATTTACTAAATATCAATAACCTGACCCACCTTGCAGCAGTACAAGGATAGCACTTAGAAGTATCGTATCCATAATAAAGTTCACACAAAACGTTTAATTACGACACTCGCGGCGATTTTCTGTGATACAACGCAGTCATGGCGTGTGTTGCTGAAATGACGGTCGGCGTTCGACTGAGTCGGTGCGGCAACGACAGGTGCGCAAGCGCATCACAGATCACAGGTAACCACCAATAGGTAGCCCGCCCCCAGCCTCTCTCCCCTCGGAGCTTTCGCGCGCTCAATAACGAATTTCTCGAGCCCCCGAGTGTGAAGCCTACTTTACGTGTTTTGATTCGCAATGCGACAAATAATGTCTGTTAGGCGATCATCGTATTTTTATTGGGTTAGTAGGTGATATTCATTTCTAAAATAGGAACAAAAAACAATACTTAAATTTAGTTTGTCTAATGACAACCTTCTAAGCGTTTTAGAGCATGTGCAACAAGTGCTTTATTCTATATATTCTTTCACGCAAACATTATGCTTAAAAAGAAAAATCGAATTTCACATTTTCACCATTTTAATATCTACTTATTAGCCGGTAAACGACGCGTTGCAGTCGCGGAAGAAATAATTGCGGAAATATATTTTTAAATTTGGAAAAGTTATATTGTTTAATTAGGAATAACAATACATTCATTGAAGTTGAATATTTTATAGCTTTCAAATAAATTTGTCGGTATAATACGTGCGCCACCTACTTGTAACTAGTTGTACTATGCCTATAACCTTCGCACAAGTGCAAGAAATAAGTTGACAGAGTTTTACTGCAATATCATGAATGGTATGGCAGCACATAAAATACGAACAAATAAACATTATTTTTTAAATATTAGATTTATATTTTTACATAGATGTATTTAAATTCAAAGCCAAAGAACATAAATGATTACTAGACCATACGCGTTGATGTCTTTTCTACGACGTCAGAAGTTAGTTTTTAAAATGTTAAGCTGATGATGTGCTTTTGAAAAATTTTAAAGCTGATGAATGATGATGCGTCTTTATAAAAAAGAGTATTCAATTTTTTTTAATTATTCTAAGCCAGCACTTAGCTATAATCCCACCTGATGGTAAGTGGTGATGTAGCTTAAGATGGTAAAGCGCACTGACTTAACAAAAACCTATTCACTCTTGCCTTGAAGACACCAAATTGTAATCGGATGGAATGACAGATGCTGGCAACTTATTCCACTCCTTTGCTGTACGCATGACTAACGGCATAGCAAACCATAGAATACTATAATATACAATAGCATGGCTGTCAACCTTATTTTATACGAGGATAGGCGCCGCCGGGATCACACATACAAGCAATTACGTTGTATTATCAGTTAATCACTACCACAAATCCGATTCGCTGTGTTGACAGATGGATTTTAATACATATTTATTTGTAAATAGCGTGCAATTTGGTATTTCCTAAATAATTTGCATGCGAAAATAGGAAACGATTGTAAAGTCAAAACAGATGTGTTTTTAGTGGCTACACGGGCTCCACCCACTGCATCGTTCTATTATGTATGAATTATAGTATTCTATGTAGCAAACCGTTTAGTTCGAATTCGTGGTAAAACAACAATGAAAGGGTAGAGAGTGGCCGAACATATGGTTGTCCGATGGTGGAAGGGAGATGGAGGGAGGGGTAGATGACCGAAATGCTGGCTACTTTGCGCCTGTGTTCGAGGCTGGTAAGATTTGTTTTAGCCAAATTCGGGTCACCAATAAGCCTCTTACGCCTTTCCATTGATTCCAAAGCACGGTCGGACTTGCGCTATATATAAAGTAAGGATCTGTTCCGTCGTGAGGTATCGCCGTACCTTTGCAAGGACTCTTAGCTTTCTTGCAGCTACTATGGCCTTGGATTCAATGAACCGCCCGAAGTTCAGGTTTGAGGATATCTCAACCCCTAGCAACTGGAGGCGGTCGGTGTATTCCAGTGATACATTTCGGAAAAAAGGAAACAAGGTGAGCTGGCTCCTTTTTGCTGTGAAGAGAGACGCTTGTGTTTAGGAGGCGTTGAATTTCACAAGATTAGCAACACCCCATTCGGAGACTGCCTGTAGTGTGACATTCACATACTCTACCATAGCTTCTCTTGGATTCTTCGGACTGGATTTGATCCCGACTGGCCCGAGGACTTGGTTGGTATCTCTCCACAACTGCGCTGTCGTCTGCGTACCCATAGGTGTCGGGCATAAGCAAAGCAATATGCAGCAGGAAGAGAGTTGCGGAGAAAACATACCCCTCAGGAACACCGGCGTTAGTCGTCACTGGATTGGTTGAGCAGCCATCGACGACGACCCGGAAAGACCATTATTCAAATTCAAATAATAAACTCTAAATATATGTAATATCTACACTTTACTACCAGAAAGTTTTATCGTTCCCATTTCTCTCGAAGAACATTCCGCAACTCATTGTGTCTCGCTATTCTCTAATGATTCGCAGAAAACTTTATCAAAGTGTCCATTGAAGCAGTAAAATTGTTACCAAAAACTAATTTCATAGACAAAATTAAGATTATTTCACTCACTTTCTCGATTAGATTGATTCGATACAGACAATAGTTGCGCAAATTTGTTATCTATCAACGTGCGAAGCAGCGGGACTCAAGTTTAGAACATTAAATAGCTTTCAGTATATATTTGTTATATTTTTATTTACATTTTTAGGTATCAAATTATTTTGAAAATATTTAATCACATTTTAAAATAATTGCTTAGTGAATATTTTTTGTGATTATTTAAATGACAACATTTAAATTACGTAGTAAATATTATTAATTTAATAATAACATTTTTATCTAACTATCAGCTGAGCGCTTGCCTTAAATTCATTGACCACAAAAAACATGCGTTGAATTCACACCACCAAAATTGTTTGGTTAATAGACAGTTTCTTAATATTATATTCTTACTGTTTATGTTGTCTGGTCCTGAGATTTGCGTTCCTTTAAGCAATCTATTTTGAAATTTTTATTTTGCATATTATTATACCCTTATTAGTATGTTTCTGCATTTAACTTGCTTCTAAAGAAAAAATCTCTTGATTCAATGTTTTCCAAAAATATTGATAATTGTTGTTTCTGCTTTTTATTAAGTAAACCCATTTTCATACTTTCTTTTACTCTTTTTACTTTTCAATTAATAGTGCCTCTCACGATTCTGTTTTCGCTAGAGCAGTTAATATATTAGATCACTTCTATATACTTGCGTTTACACCTTTACCCAAAATACAACTTCTGATCAAGATGTACCTCCTCATTTTGAAGGCATTTTTCTTGTTATATCGGTATCCTGTCACATCGAAGGAATGGCCATATTAGCCATTAAGAAGCGTGGCGTGCATAAGAGAGCAGCATATTATTTTATGTCGGCCCACCACTCGCAATTTTTCGAAACGAGCATGCGGCTCACCTGATGTTAAGTGACTACCGCCGGCCATGATCAACCGCAACACCAGGGGAATTGCAGGTGCGTTGCCGGCCCTTTAGAAAGGAGTAGGCTCTTTTCTTGAAGGTCCCCAGGTCGTATCGGTCCGGAAAAATCGCCGGTGGTAAACTATTCCACAGAGAGGTTGTACGCGGAAGAAAACTCCTTTTGAAACGTACTGTGGTGGACCGCCAAGCATCCAGATGGTGTGGATGGTATCGGAACATTAGCTGCGTAGTGCGTTCACGAAATTTGGCGGCTGGGATTAATCCGAACAATTCCTCAGAGCACTCTCCATGGTATATGCGAAATAAAATGCAAAGAGATGCAAAATCTCTTCGCAGTGCCAGTGAATCGAGCCGATCGGAAAGCACTCGGTCGTCGACGATTCGAGCCGCTCTGTGCTGGGTGCGGTCAAGTGGAAGAAGCTGGTACTGGGGAGCCCCAGCCCAAAGATGGGAACAGTATTCCATGTGCGGCCGAACCTGCGCCTTGTAAAGTCGCAGGCGGTGTGCCGGCATGAAATACTGTCCCGCTCTGCTGAGCACGCCAAGCTTTTTAGAGGCCAATTTGGCCTTCTCTTCCAAGTGACCACGAAACTGCACGTCACTCGATATGTCAACGCCGAGGATTCCGATACTGGCTGAGGCAACAAGGGAAGTGCCTTGAAACTGAGGAGATACGACATAGGGGTTCTTTTTAGCGGTTAACGTGCAAACTTGTGTCTTCTGGGGGTTAAACTGGACTAGATTTAGTCACCCCCAATCCGAGACTCTGTTGAGCAAAGACTCGACTTCAGACACAAGTTTGTCCCGGCACTCGGAGACGTTTTCCCGAGAAATATTGGCTCGGCCGGTGTAAAGAGCATTACCAGTGCTGTCATCTGCATAGCAATGAATGTTACGGGTTTGCAACATATCATTGATATGCAGAAGAAACAGCGTTGGCGATAGCACGCAGCCTTGTGGAACACCAGCATTAATAGGCTTGTAATCGGAGCTTACACCGTCTAGAACGACCTTGATGCTCCGATCTGCAAGAAAGCTGGTGATCCAATCGCACAATTTCTCGGGAAGCCCATAGGAAGGGATCTTCGAAAGAAGCGCTTTGTGCCAAACCCGATCGAAGGCCTTCGCAATGTTCAAACTAACGGCCAATGCCTCCCCCTTGGACTCTACTGCCTCCGCCCATCTATGAGTTAGGTAGACCAGAACATTACCAGCTGACCGACCACGGCGAAAACCGTATTGACGGTCACTTATCAGCTGGTGTTCCTCAAGGTACCTCATGAGCTGGCAGTTTACAATAGACTCCATTGTTTTGGAGAACAAGGAGGTGATGGCGATAGGCCGGTAGTTGGACGGGTCTGAGCAGTCGCCGTTTTTAGGGATCGGGTGGACGAAAGCTGTCTTCCATGATTTTGGAACTACGCCTAGGGAGTAGGAGTACCGGAAAAGACGCGTTAAAACCGGTGCCAACTCTGGAGCACACGTCCTCAGCACAATTGAGGGGATTCCGTCGGGCCCCCTCGACTTGTGGATGTCCAGGGAGAGGAGTGCTTTGCGAACCGAGCGCTGTGTGAACTGCACTTCCGGCA